CAAGATAGAATTCGGATCATGATAGTTGGGGGAGTGGGGGAAGCATTTAGGGACTAGAGGAAAGTTGTATTTCTCATCGTTGCTATATCACACTCTGTCTGGTTCATCTCCTCCCCGAGACCCCTCTGCAAGGGGGGGGGTCATGGATACTTGAGGGAAAGATGAAAACCGTCAAACACAAAAGGGCCTGGTCTTAATAGAAAACAGGATCCATGCAAGTTCTATTTTGATTTTAAAAAGACATTGAGGGGAAAAGAGACACCCTTAGTGTGACAGCGTGTTTGGTGGTTGGGAATAGGAAAATTGCATCTTTGAAGAGTGAAAAAAAACACCCAAAAATGAAGAGTGTGCAGTCATACTTAGTTGTAAAAAAAAAGACCAATATGTGCAAAACCAAAAGTGAATGAAGACATGAAAGAAGAGAGCGGGTAGAACACAGAAGGAACCTAGTTTTAAGTAACAGGACGTGTGGGGTGTCTGAGATGCAGCAAGATTCTACTTCTGTTTAAAGACCCAAGGTGGTGGCGAAAGCAAGGGAGAGAGATTGGTGGGCGTAATGGAGAGTACAGCAGGACTGGCGGAGGATGCTAGAATCGAATGGAGGCAACACTCAAGATGGAATGTGGGAGGAAAGAAATAATATCTTATACCTCTTCCGCGCTTTATGCTTTAAAAGCAAGTGAAACCCAAGCTAACAGATGGGAGGGAGAAGGAAGGGAATGACAGTCCTAACGATGGGGGAATTATTGAGGGCAACAAGCCAGGGATGGAATATGGAGGGGGGGAAGAGGGGCGGATCACTGAAGGGAATTCTGAGCAGGAGGAAAGCGTGGAAATGCAGGTGGGTGAAGAGGAGGGTTGGGTCAGCGAGTGGGGATCGAGGACTCAGACAAGTGCACAAAATGCGAACCACTTTGGACCGGGGTCTCGGAATAACGGGACGGGGGAACCGGGGAGGCGAGATCACAGGGGGAGATGCTGCGGGAAGGCCTGTCAGTAGGGGCTGCAGACAAGGTCGAAGTAGAGGACGCGGGCAGTTCAAGGCCTGGGGCAGAGAAGCGGCTAGGGTAACGGTCAGAAGAAGGCTTTCCGAGGGAGCCCACGGATGCCACACCTCACGGACAGGGCTGAGCTGACCCCGTGGGAATGGGTCTCTTCTCGCTCGTGGGGTTGCGCCATCACCCGCGCTTCTCTTCGCGGGGCTGCGGGCGGCAAAGGCGAGACCTCGGCTCCGGGCTGCAACCGTTGCTCCGCAGCTCCAGGCGGCGGGGCCACCGCGTCCTCCGCTGTGGACACTCGTATCCTGGAAACCGTAACCCTTGCGCCCGTTGGCTCCGCCCTTTCGGCTGGCTTCCTTTCTAGGCGAGCGGATTGGTGAGAGGGCTTTCCTGTCTCGACCAATGGCAAGCGATTGGATGCTGCAGTGGCCCAGCCTGGGGCTAAGACTTGCATACGAGCAAATGATGGTCTGTTCCAAAATTAGCCCCTGGTCTGGTTTTAGCTGTTGATGCTGAGCTTCTCTGTCATCGCTTCCCACAGGTGTCGATTTGATTCCTGAAGAAGTCTATGAATAGACAGCCACAGTATGTGTGGTTGGAAAAAAAAGATATTTGCTATGAACAAGTCGTTGGTCTTGCAAAATTCTCTCATGTGATCTTTAGCTTCATTTCTATCACTTGGACCACATTTAACTACTATTCCTTCCTCTTTGTCTCTGACTTTTACATTCTAATCATCAACAACTGTCAATGTACCTTGTCTGCATGTTTGATCAACATCAGACTGAAGACATTGGTAAAACTCTTCTATTTCATCACTCGTTGTAGTGGTTGGTGCAGACATTTGAAGAATAGTTATATTGGCCGGGTTTCCTTGTATGTGGATAGAGATGATCAGATCACTGGCGGCATTGTACTTTGAGATGTATCTTGAAATGTCCCTTTGATAAATGAAGAGGAGAGCAAAGCCATTCCTTTTGCCCTCGATCTTCTGGCGTAGTAAAAACCATCTGACTCCCTCTTTCAAAATGGCCAAGACCAGTTCAGTTCCACTCACTAACACCTAGGCTACCAATCTTTACACGTTTCATTTCATTTTTGAAGACTACTAATTTTCCTAGATGCTATACTCTGTACATTCCGAATTCCAATTATTAATAGATATTGGTGGCTGTTTCTTCTCATTTTGAGTTGTGCCCCGCCAGCAAATGAAGGTCTTGCAGGCTTTACTCCCAAAGACTTCACTCCATCCGTGTCTTCATGGTCAACTCGACTTTGACAAGGAGGCTCGTTTTTCAGTAATATTTTAAGGGCCTTTTGACCCGAGGGAGTCATCTTCTGGCACTATCTCTGACGATGTCCTACTACCCTTCGTTGCGTTTTCAGTTATCTGACAATATTCTGCTGCTATCCGTAAGATTTTCAGTGACTAATTCTTCTTTGTGCCTTAAAGGCAAAAACGGTGAGACTTTGTCTTACATACTTTGGACATGTTGTCAGGAGAGACCAGTCCCTGGAGGACATCATGCTTGGTAAAGTGGAAGGACAGCAAAAAAGAGAAAGGCCCTCAAGGAGATGGGCTGATACAGTGGCTGCGACAATGGTCCCAGTGATAGGAACAATTGTGAGGCTGGGCAGGACGGGCAGTGTTTCGCTCTGTTGTGCGTGAGATCTCTATGCGTCAGAACGAACTCGATGGCATTCGACAACACAAATGATAATACAGACCCCTCAGAAGTGGACAGCCCATCCCTTCTTCACAATCTATTGTCCGTCTGGAACCAAAACTGAAACCTCCTCACCTCAAGTGATCCTGCTGGAATCGGAAATGCCAAGGACATAGCGCCCAGCATCACGGCAACACACAAGCCACCACACTATGACAAATTGGCAGAAGAGTGGTGACGCCCCATTTTACAGATAAGGAAAGTGGGGTTAAGAGGAGGAACCTGCCCAAGTCTACAAAGCTGAGTAGGGCTTCAATCTGAAATCTACAAAAACCCAAACCCTTTTTGGTGGAAACCATCAGACCTCACGGACACCCTGTAGGACAGAACAGAATTGCCCCTAATGGGGTTTGAATGCCCCTAATGGGGTTCTATCTGTGTGGAAGCAGACTGCTACTTCTTTCTCCCACATAGGGGTTGGCGGGTCCAAAGGCAGGCCCGGTGGGTTCCAGCTCAACTTTGTAGTCAGTAGATGAGCACAGTATTATGGAACATCAAGCCCGTTATTATTACATCACACTTTCAATCGTCCCCTCTGCTTGCTCAAGGAGGCAGACAGCTTCTGGATGTGAACCGATCCAACAATCTGCAGCTTTGTCCGGGCTTCTTCCCATTCATTCTCTTCCATGTCCTGCTCTTCCTACCCCTTCTCTCTTCGGGGTCTTCCTACCTTCCCTCCTTCATTTCTTTCACACAGTTATTGAGTATCTCCTACGCATTGTGTGAGTCACTTAGAACAAAACTGCGAACCAAACAGAGAGAATGCCTTCATTCTTCACACTCTCCTCCCAAGCTGGGCGTGCAAATGAGCGGTTATGTCCAGGTCTTACCTCGCCGAATGAGCAGTGTCTGGGGTGGTGTCTGAGCTCACGTGCTGTTCTTGCTGGGCGTGAAAGGATGTGGAATGGTTGCTGGGAAGCAGGAGAACTGAGGGGACAGCTCTTGTCCTCGTACTATGGCACAAGACCGGATGGGGTAAACTGGCAAGGGCAGTGTGCTTGGAGCAGAAGGAGGAGAGGAGAAAGTAGGAGAGATGAGGCTGGAGAGGAAGCCAAAGGGCAGATAAAAGTCAAGTTAGGAATTCTGATCGCCTACGAGTCCTGAAGGTGCAGTGGTGAAACACCTCCCTGCTAGCGGGAAGGTCTGAGGTTTGAACTCACTAGCCTCTCTGTGGAAAAGAAAATATATTCCCCTTGACTTCCATGATTACAGTTACCATGATTACAGTCTTGGAAACCCTGTGAGGCAGTTCTACTCTGTCCTACAGGGTGGATATGAGTTAGCATCCAGGCATGACATCAACACCATCACCACCACAGCAGCAAAAAGTTATGGGAAGACATAAAAAGGTTCTCAGCATAAGAATGAGGTGATCAGATTTCTGAAAGATGAATCTGTTAGATCTCTCTGGAGCTAGATTTATACCTCGGTCCTTGGTTCCGCGCGAGAAAGAATTCACGCTGAAGCCTGGTTCGTGATCGAAGTGAGTTTTATGAAGGTTAGAAGAAGTTTCAGGTTTACATGGCACCCAAGGGGCTCCTCCCGGACATTGCGGCCTAGCTGGAAGCGGCTCGGCGTCCCGCAAAGTGTGCCAAAGTTCTCTGCGCCTAAGTTCTCTCTCTCTTCCTCTCTGGGCTCCTGCCTTTTTAGGGATTCCACGGGGAGGCGTGGTGGAAGACCCTTGATCGACCCCATTGGCTGAATTGAATTCACCTGGCTAGGTGAGCCAATTCAAGTTCACGCCCACCCCTGCCTACCAGAGCATGTGCAGTGCGTCACTCCTTTGTCTCCCTAGCTTGGCCCTCTGGGCACCCGTTAAAGGACATCCCCCAGTCCTATGCTGGCCTACCTAACATATCCAGCTAGAGGAAGATTATCAACCGAGTGAGAGAGCAGAGAGAGCATCTCTTTCATGGTTCAGACAACTTGAGCTAAGGCAGAGTTTGTCAGCCTTGGCACTTTGTGGGCATTGTAGGATGGGTAGGGGAGATGCATTGTGCCTGTTAGAATGTATCGTAGACATGTTGCATCTAACTATTATACCTCAGACATGTGCAAGGCATGGACGAGTAACAAGAAAGGATCCTTGCCAGAGCAAACAATGAAGTAATGGGCTGCCAATGGGAAACTGGCTCTGCAGGAGAAAGATCTAGTGATCCGCTCCTACGAGGATCACAGGCTGGAAAACCCAGTGAGGAGGTTCTACTCGGGCACAGATGATCACCAATCGACAGGATGGCACCTCACAGCAGTCACAAGAATTGCTTCATGCTGTGTAATGCACTGCTCAGCTTCTGTGGATGTGTGAGAACCCAAAGAGAAGCAAGAAAATAGCCACTTCCACTTGCTTTGACACACAAATCGATGCATCCCCGCTTGTGGAGAGGAAGGAGTGGGCAGCGTCATGACTCTCTCTTCACTCCTATTCAAACCCACCTGCCACTCAGATCCAACCCACGCTCCCCATGTGACCACATCGGACATCAGCAGTGTCACAGCCCACAGTGCTCATAGAGGATGGCTATTTGTTTCAAGGACCCGCAAGAGGCATGAGGCATAGAGAAGTGTTTCTCTGGGGTTCATCACAGTAGCAAATCTTTTGGGGTACTGTTGTGCCAGGCAGGTGTTGAAAGCTAGATCCTGCCAACTTTGCGTTCTTGAATATGTATCTGCGTGTGTGCCTGTGGTACAATGCCCCTCTAAAGCAAAGGGCCCGTAGCACGGCGACCCTCTGCAGTGTCCATGGAGGCTATAATGTCACATAGGTTTGACAAACTGTGCACCTGCGTGAAAGAATTAACAAATTCAGGACGGTGAACAGACAGGGAAAGGGAGGTCCCATTGTTTTCTCCTCTGGATTGTTTATCCCACTTATCTTGTCTAGATAGACATGCAGAGACAATAATAAGCACAAAACCAAGACAGAGAAAAATAAGCAACAAAAGAAAACAATAACAAAAAAGAAACCAACAACAAAAAAAGAAAAGCCTGTAAATAGTTCCAGGTCTGTTTGTTGACCTTTAGGAGTGTTTTCCAGTCGAGTCTGATGGGGTGCCATGCCCTGGCTCCAAAGTCTATTTTTGGTATTCCCTGGGGACTTCCTTGCTCTGCTCTCCTTGCTGCTCTGTTGTACACCCTTAGCATTTCACCCAGGCATGGTGGGAGTCATATGGGGCACAATTCCAGCACTGTGTCTCCAGTATTGTCCCCATAGCACTATGGGTCAGTGAGGGACGTCGTGTTTCATGGTGGGTGCATTGTGTGCTCTGAGCAGGAATATTGTCCTCAGGACTTGGTGGGATGTGCTCCACTCTCTCTTCCTCCCCCTTCATTTGCTCCTGTGTGCTCTGATCAGACATGTCCCTCTCCCTGAGCTGTAGCTTCAGTGCTGTCCTCTGAAGTAAATTCTTTTGGGGTGGGGGGGGAGGGAAGGGGAGGTGTCCACATAACGTAGTCAGGATTGGGG